CATCGATGCAGTAAGGGGTGCATCATTGCATCAATAGTTCGAAGCTATTTTGGGTACCAATGCACCTATAGTGCATCGATACACTGCTGAAGGAAAAAAGTGAATATTAGTTTATTAAGTTCGTTTAAGTTGTTAGTATCAGATTACAAGGTGTAGGTATCTGATAATTGACTTAAAATGTATAATTATGTAGATTCAGAGCCTAATCAAGTTCCGGAATCATTGACAAGTAAGATCGATCAAGGGGAAAGATAAGAGATTGGAATTGACTAGCGAGGCCAGGTGAGTGCATAATAGTGACATGTATTGTTTAATGAAAATAGGACTTGCGATGAGTCTATTTCCTAGAATAATATGCATGAAGTCATGAATAAGATTATGTGGTTGTTATTATTATATGTGTTATATGTGATTATATATTTTACATTAATTGTATGTATGCATAACTAAAGATATTGATGTTCTTTGTATATGCTATAGGATTTGTGTAAAACACTAAAATGTAATAATGGAAGAACATGAAATAAATTATATGATAGAGATAAAGAATGACATGAACGAGTGAGCATAAGATAATCAAGTATAAGTCATATTATATGTACATGTGATTATACGAGAAAGGTTAGAAGACTCTATGAGGATAGTATAAATTCGAGGGCATATGCATAAATAAGGATACATAAGTTATATAGGGAAGATTTATATAGTTAAAGGAAACTATGGTTTATGAATTATAAAGTGAAGAGCTACAAAGCTTTATGAAAGAGTATATGTATGAAGTAATGGGAAATTAAACTAATTAAATAGATTAAATTAGTATATATAGATGAATTATGTAAGTGAAAGGGGAAATGAGATAAGATAAGTAGAAATTATTTATAGGATAGAATGAGACTATTTGAACATGTATTATAAACTTTATAAAGGATGACTTAGGTTAAATCATTATATGATATAAATATAGGGCATTATTTTGTAAATTACATTAAAGAGACATGTTTACACGATTACAAGATATGATACAGGACATTAGATATATGAAAGAGAAAGTATATGTGATATGAGAAAGTAAAACAAGTTAAATGATATTGAATCAGGTGAATATAAGAGATTAAAGCATAAATTATACGAAAAGATATAAGTCATAGGATATGACATGTTTATAGGAACACAGGAGAAGTGTTATATACTATGTGATACATGAATACGAAATGATATGAGAATTTACATGAACTACGTGATTAAATGTATATGTGAATGAAGCTACGAGTTTATATGAATATGTGATATGTTTACATGAATATGAAAAAGGATATAAAAGATAATGCCTATGATATGTGTCATGAGAGCTAGGGATATAGTTGACATGCCAAGAGCTAGGGATATAGTTGGCATGCCAAGAGTCGAGAGTCTACGCGGTCCTTCGGGACATATATGTATCCTTTGGAACATCTATGAGGTCTTTTGAGACACATATTTGGTCCTTGGAATATGTAAATGGATCTAAAGGAATTTTCTACGTGGTCCTTAGGGACATCTTATATGGCACTTTGGTGCATTTCTACGCGGCACTTAGGTGCAATTCTACGTGGCACTTCGATGCATTTATACGAGCTGTGGTGACAGCATTAGTGCACAACCTCTATAGACTCACATATCTATAGTTCTCACATGTGTACATGGGCTAATAAAGAAGAAGATATAAAAGAACCTTGTATGATATTATGTGTTTTGTTTGTAATCTTTATGGTGAAATGATATATGTGATATGATGGTGATGTGTATATAGCTTGGTTAAGACGAATAGGTACAAGAACATATGACTAAAAGATAAAAAAGAAAATAAGACTATTAAAGAGATAATGAGAAATTTATTACATACGCTTTATATGTTTTGTGTTAGGAAATATGTTACCAGTATTATATGATGATATGAGTATTTCTTTGTGAAACAATATATATATATATATATATGTTTGGATGCATTTTATGGTTTATCATGATTATATGAAATGTGCATAATAGGAATTAGTTATGATATGCTATAGTCGGTTTGTTTATGTCTCACTAAGTCATAGACTTAGCGTGTGATTGTTTCACACGTAGGTTACAGAAGCGAAGAAGAGCAAAACATGTCAGCATCTCCCTTACAAAATTTCATATCAGAAAATAGATGATTTAAATGTGTTTGGTTATTTTGAATATTGTTGGCATGCACTAATTGATTGAGTTAAATATGTCCTGATCGATTTTGGTTACTGTGGTAAATTTATGTAAATAAACCGCTTTTACTTTAATGAAAGTTTTAAATTTTCTTTGAATTTTGTCAAGAGTCAAAGTTTGAAAAGTCAATGTGACACCTTAGACTCGTATTTGGGTCGGGCACGGGTCTGAGGGTGTTACACGTTTTTCGGTTATTTGGTCGTTGTTTTCACTTAATTTTTTCTAAGGGTTGATTTGAAATCACTACGACTGATTAAGATGGCGCTTATATGTTATATTGTTGATCTTATATGCTTTGTACCATCATATTGGATTTGAATACCCGTTATGTGTTCGTTGATAGCTTTTTACGTCCCCGAGTCTAATTTGCAGTTCGTTTGTGATCTTTTAGTAACTTCAACCCCTTTTGTAGTTCGCTTGTCAATGCGATCAGATCTGTTTGTAACTATCTTTGTTCGACTTTTCTTAGTTAAATTTTAACATTTCCTTGTACGATCCTTATGTGACCTTAAGTTGTTAGTTTTGTTTAAATGATTATAAGAAATTGCTCTAATTATGCACTTAATTTACGATTATGATCGTAAATCTTTATTGTAATTTAAGATATTTTATATTTTAAATAAAATTAATGGTTTATTTAAAAGAAAAAATATATTCGAAACAATTGAACACTATCCTTGACTTGATAGTATTTGTTCAGCTTTCGGTTTTGTTTTATAAAAAACACATATTATAGATTTGCACTTTAAATTTAGGGTAAGTACATAAATGACCCTTGATTATAGAGTGTTGTTTTGTTGAGTTTTCTGACTATTAAAAGTTATAAAATAATCATATGGTTATAGGGCATTGTTTTGTTATATCCCCATATTATCAAAATTTATAAAATGGTCATCCGACTATTCATATGTTCCAAACTTTTCCTTTTTTGTTAAAAAATTGGCAGTCGTCTGAGCTAAACGTTAATCTGGTGACTGTGATATGATAAAATATGGTTTGAGAACCATTTGAGTTGTATTTTGTGGATCTAATTGAGCTAGTGTTTGAAATATTATGTCGTCGAGCTAGTGTTTGAAAGCAACGTTAGTAACAATAGACATAATTAAAATATGATTTATTATATCCAATCAACATGTCAACGTCCATCTCATACGGCCACCAATTCTATTAACGGAAAATGATGAATTTGGAACATAGTAGGGTGATCATTTTATAACTTTTAATAATTGGAGAATTCAACAAAGCAACACCCTATAGTTCAGATACCATTTTGTAAATTTAATATAATATGACCAAGACTTTTATATGATAATATGTCTAGAGAAGGGCACGAGACTCGTACTTGACTAGTTTTAATCTGATTCAACTTTGCCATGTTAGGTTTTTCTTTTAAAAAAATTGAGTTCGGGTCGAGTTAGACTCAAGTTTAGGAGGGAAAAATACTCGACTTGACCTGAGAAAATAATATAATTATACATTATATATTTAGAGATAAGTACAATAATACTTCTCTATTTATATACTTTTTCAATTAGATCCATATTTTATCAAATAAAATTAATATATATATACTCAAGTTTAGGAGGGAAAAATACTCAACTTGAGTTGAGAAAATAATATAGTTATACATTATATATTTAGAGATAAATACAATAACACTTCTCTATTTATATACTTTTTCAATTAGATCCATATTTTATCAAATAAAATTAATATATATATATATATATGTGTGTGTATGTCGGATCGGGTGCAATTTTAATCCCAAAAGGTGAGTTGGGTTTCGAGTTGAGTGAAATCACTCTAAATCCGATTTGAGTCAAGTTTCATGTGCAAATGGTCTTTTTTTTATCGGGTCGGGTCGGCCGAAAATCCAACCCATACAGATCCCTAAATTTGCCCTTTAATTTGAATTTACGGTGTCAAATTTTTCTTTCTCATCTTATTTTTACCAGCTAACATGAAAAAAAAAAGGATTCGCATATGGGGTGCCGGCTGTTGAATCGTCTTAACTTCTTGCATATGAATTATTTATATGGTGCCAAGTCTACATTGAAAAATACCGTCTCCTTGCATGTGGATTATATTATATGAGATCGATAAAATGGTGAGGGTAGACGAGCCGCCTTCACTCATTTTTTCTCTTCATATCAATGCAATAAAGGATTACCAGTGCCAACTCTGCAATTACCATTAGTAAAGGAAAACCTGCTACAACTTTAACAACCCCAAGTGGTAACTGACTGGACACAGCTAAGTAGCCCATCTGTCGCCAAAATCCTAAACTTCTGCTGCCTAAATCACTAATCAATTCTTAATGTAGACGTTGATACTGTTTATAAGCTGATTAGCCTAAGAGGATTACCAACGTTTTCAAAGCTTCATTTGATCTCTTGTACAATGTTAAGCTGAAGTGACTACCATGTGATTGTCCAAAATAATCAATTTTTTTCAATATCTTCATCGGGACAACAGGAATCCTGACAGGAAAGATAATCATAAAAACAAATGACTAAATATCTCCCATGATACCAAATCTAATAATGATTCTCTATAATTCAACTTGTATGTAACTTATGATGGGTAACATTTCGTAAAACTAACTGTAAAGCATGTTACAGTGAGAATGTTGGAAGTAATTTTGCTTTACTTAGGTTGCATTGCAATCATTCTGTAGAGATAAGATAAGAGATCAGATTTTGAGGAAAGAAGGCTGTATAATTTTTATTTTAACAATTGTATACGTGTAAGTTATTTACAATTACATTGCCAAAATTTCAACAGTTGAGGATGTTGAGAACAGTGACTCTAGCTTTGATCAAACACCTGAAGAAGCTTTCAAGACCTTCCTCAACATCTGGGATGCACGTCTCTGAGTTTCGGAGCTCATTTTGCAGATTCTCGATATGCTTCGTGTTTCCAGATTTAACGAAGGAGCGCAATGCAGCTTCAGCATTTGCAATTTCATTTGTTTTTTGTTCTTCTTCCTCACACATTACTCTTTTCTTGTGAATTAACTTTGAAACTATTGACCACCGGCTTGATTTCAATTCAGCCTCTGGTCCTGATATAAAGGACAACAAGGATTCAAGGACGCTGATGGTTACTGCTTCTACTTGTTTTAAGGTGCTAATAACGGCTACGGTTTCACCATCTTTTCTGAAGGAAGAGGAGGTAAGTTTATTCTCCACATGCTTCAAGTTCTTTAAGGCCTTGCAGATTGCCTTTCTTGCTGCCTTCCTGGAGGTGAAGTATTTCCTAACCTCATTTCCAAGGCATTGGGTTCCTTGTCTTCGGCGCAAAATCGATTGAAGTTCTTGTGTCCCTTCCTTTGTTAGAAGCAAGGCATCGTTAGCGGTTCCGCATACATCCAGAAGCAAGAGAGATCCATCCAAAAGTTCATCAACCAATTTCCTTTGCTGCTCTTGAGCTAAAGCTTGTTGAGTGTGGGGCAATTGAAGCAACATATCGACAGAGTCATACAAATCCTGAAGACAATTCAGTTTATCTGCTATTGATGAGGATGTAGAGGCAGTTTGAGATTCCCTCAATCGGTTCAGATTTTCATCGATTTGTGAAGCGATGGGGTGTTGCCTTGAAGGCAAGCTGTTTGAGCGAGCATGGAAAGAAGGCTGGACATTCAAAGGAGAGGCAGCCATTTTCTTTGTTTTAGAGAAGAAAGAAGGCCTTGAAATTGCGTGTTTCAACTCAGTCTAGCTATTTGCTTCCAGTTATCATCCGCTGGATATATATCACAGGTTGAGAGGAGACATGCGGAATCTCATTCTATTAAAAAAAAACAAGTACATGTAACTTGGACTTGATTTGGATCTACACGATTATCGTGAAAAAAAATCATGTTTTGTCTCCTCTCCACCATCGAACCAACTCATTACCCTTCAGCAAATAAAACCAAAATTATTGTACAGGCAATGACCATTTCCTACTTTTTCAATCATTGTTCCTCTTGTATTCTTCCTCTATAATAATGAATAATTGCATTCAACTTGTATGCAGTTTATCGTATTACTTTTGAATTATTTTGCCAAAAGGGAGACAAGATAGGCATACTTGACTTGTATACTACAGTTTTAGCAGGAAAGCATGTGTTTGCTGCAAAATTTTATTTTTTAATGATGGGAAGAAGATAGCACAATTTTTGAAGCTTCAGTTGTCCCCTAACTAAAATACAGCTAAAACAATTTTCTATAATGCAACTCGTGTATGATCCGAATCAACCATGTGAATGACAATTGATTTTCTGTTAGTGTTTAATAAATTGTTCTGGATTGAGACAATAGGAATCTTGACATTGAAGATGATAATTCAGGGATCCGTGTCTAGTCAAGGGTTCGTTCTGGAGACTTATTTTCTCCTTTTTCTTTTAGTTTTAACTAGGTCCGCTATGTCCTTATCTTGTTGAAAGCCATCAATCAATTTTCTATAATGAATATTATATCAGTTCATAGAGACAAAAGGAATCTCAAACACTTCTTATCAGCAATCCAAGATGACTGCTTGAGCCTCCCTTGAGTGGCTAACCATAGAATCAGTCTCATTCATAACAGTGCTTTGTTTATTATCATTATGCTTCAAACTCTTTAGGGCCTTCAAGATTTCCTTTTAAGATGCCTTCTTACAGGTCAAGTATTTTCTAACCTCATTAGCAAAGCTGTTTGTAGCACCTCTCTTTCTGCGAAGACGGATTGAATTTCTAGTGTGCATTCCTTTACTTGGAGTAGGGCATCTTTGGCAGTGATGCACACATCCAAAGGCCTAAGCATAGACATTTTCCCTCTGGTGTTCTTGGGATATGATTTGTCAAGTGAGGGGCAGTTGAAGCAATTTCTCAGTGCACTCATGTAAATCTTGAAGTCTACCGAGTTTTTGGTTAAATGACAATGGTATAGATGCCGACTGAGATGATACCAATCTACTCAACTGCTCATCAACCTCTGAAGTAAGAGGGTGTGATCTTGAGGGATTAGAATGAGTGTGTTAACCGGTTTGGATGCTTGAAGGAACGGAAGCCATTATCTCTCCTGAAAAGAGACTTAGAACTTATGATCTTGATTCAATCTGGAAATCACCTTCTTTCCATCATCCTACCCAACATATATATTCCGTGAATGACAAGACACGAAAAATTTCACCCTTTCAAATTGCAATGTCTCCCTCCTAACCAGTTCTACAACTCATAACATGATTCTTTTAATATGTAATCTCGTGATATATCTTGATTCCAGAAATAAGACTATACTCTATAATGAGCTATCCACGAGTGGTTTAAATATTGCTTCCACACACAGTGGGTAGTTTTATCATGTGCAGCCTCAAATATTTAGAGAAAAGGGACCTGCACCTGAAACTAATTTATGTAATTATTATTTAATCAATTTTCATTAGCATGTACATGAACATGTGTATGAAATTAAAAAGGTTGAATTTATCAAGTTCATGAATGATATCCTGAATTTCTTGTCGTGCAGGAAGCAGGCAAGATCCGCAAGCTCAACTTCAACACATCTTGCCAACTTATAGAAGAATGGATGGAGTTTAAAGATCAATTCAGAGGATTATTAAGCTGTAAGCACAATGTAGAGAGAGTCATCAGAATTTTCGTTAAACGCATGTGAAATTTAAATGTCAGCCTGTTATCTGCATAGTGCATGCTTCCATGTGAATGACATTAAAGTTTTGTAAAGTGATGATTTCTTAGTCTTTAGTCTTGAGACAAAAGGAATCCTAAATGCTTCAAACTTCATTACTTGTTTTCAGAATTGTAGGAAGTTAGAGTTGTGTGACCCAAATTCTTTTTTATCGGGCCCGAGATGGTTAGGAAGAAACTGTAACAGCTATGCTAAACAGACTATGACATAAGAATCTTTTATTTGCTTAAAGCGTGTGAGATTTCTATCTACCAATGATTGTCAAAGTCATCAAATAGTTAGAACGTGACAAAGTGCTTCAATATCTTCAACGGGACAACAAGAATATAGACAACCTAAATGGCTGAAGTTGCATTTGTAACCATTCTGGAAAGATAAGATAAAAGAGAAAATTTGTTGAAAGAAGAAAGTATAATTTTTTTACAATTTTATACATGTAAGCTATATTTTTGTACATTTACAATGCCAAGATTTCAACAGTTGAGGATGTTGAGAACAGTGACTCTAGCTTTGATCAAACGCCTGAAGAAGCTTTCAAGACCTTCCTCTAGATCTTGGATGCACATCTCTGAGTTTTGGAGCTCATTTTGCACATTCTCGACATGCATCGTGTTTCCAGATTTAACGAAGGAGTGCAGTGCAGCTTCAGCATTTGCAATTTCATTTGTTTTTTGTTCTTCTTCCTCACACGTAACTCTTTTCTGCCTTCTGGTGCATTAACTTTGAAACTATTGACCACCGGCTTGATATCAATTCAGCCTCTGGTCCTGAAATAAAGGACAACAAGGATTCTAGGACGCTGACGGTTACTGTTTCTACTTGTTTTAAGGTGCTAATCACGGCTCCGGTCTCACCATCTTTGCTGAAGGAAGAGGAGGTAAGTTTATTCTCCATATGCTTCAAGTTCTTTAAGGCCTTGAAGATTGCCTTTCTCGCTGCCTTCCTGGAGGTGAAGTATTTTCTAACCTCATTTGCAATGCATTCGGTTCCTCGTCTTCGGCGCAAAATCGATTGAAGTTCTTGTGTGCCTTCCTTTGTTAGCAGCAAGGCATCTTTAGCAGTTCCGCATACATCCAGGAGCATGAGAGATCCATCCAATAGTTGTTCAACCAATTTCCTTTGCTACTCTTGAGCTAGATCTTGTTGAGTGAGAGGCAACTGAAGAAACATATCGACAGAGTCATACAAATCCTGAAGACAATTCAGTTTATCTGCTATTGATGAGGATGTAGAGGCAGTTTGAGATTCCCTCAATCGGTTCAGATTTTCATCGATTTGTGAAGCGATGGGGTGTTGCCTTGAAGGCAAGCTGTTTGAGCGAGCATGGAAAGAAGGCTGGGCATTCAAAGGAGAGGCAGCCATTTTCTTTGTTTTAGAGAAGAAATAAGGCCTTGAAATTGTGTGTTTCAACTCAGTCTAGCTATTTTCTGTTTTCCCATTATCATCTGCTGAATATATATCGGTGGTTGACGGGAGACATGAGGAATCTTATCCTATTTAAATATAAATTAAATGTAACATGAATTTGATTTGGATCTACACAATTTTCAAGCAAAATGTTCATTTTTTGTCTCCTCTCGACCGTCAAAACAACTCATTATCCTTTAACAAATACAAAAAACTCATCTTAAATAACATGATATACTAATACAATAATAATATACTAATGCACACGATGGTGCTAAGAAATACAGCAAAAACAATTTTTTAGTAGAACAAAAGCATGCATGATTCTATAGAAAAGTTTAAATTAAACATGTGAATAATGTTTATTTTTTCTGTCAGTTTCAAATGAATAATGCAACCCCGTTTCACCCTCATCAGTTTTCTACGAATACTTTATTGAAGTTCATGCAAAAGTCTTTCGGCCTTCATGGTGGTTAGGCCTTAGAGATCCATCGAACAACTCGCTAACCTATTTCTTGCCCTGGCCTTAACATGATTATAAGGCACGAGTGGGGTTGACTTAGTACCTTGAAAGCCAGCTAGCCTGTCTCCCAAAATGAAGTAAGGTCGCCGTGCCCCTCGCGTGAATATCTTGGCCGAGATATGTTTCAACTTTCAGACGTGTGGCTATGCTTTCATTTCTGTTCAATCATATTTAGGTTTATTTTCTTGTTAAATGTGATTTTTTCATATACTTACTAGATTGCCTTGGTGAGTTTTTTTGGGTGTAAGAAACAAATTAATGTACACGTAGTGGAAGAAAAACGGTAAGGTTGAAGATTTCCATGAAACATGAGTAATCTCCATCTTCAACTCTCATAGAGTCCTCAAACAGTCCTGGTTTGGATTTTAACATTTCAAGGTTGATGATTTCAAAGAAATTGTATCTGTGAGATTATTACACAATTTTTTTTATATTGTTCAGGCCAAAAAGAAACAAGGTACCAGGCTTGTTGCCCCACTCATGCCATCAATACATTACTATACAGGGCAGAGAATAAACAACAAATGTATATGATAAAAAAAGATGTAGATTTGTTCATCAAAATTGTATCCATTTATGATCAGATCATGTATACATGTATTTTTTAACTATATAAGATGATGTACAGAAAAATTGTGAACTTATTCTTTTCCTCTGATGGTATCTGATATCATTTTCTTCAGTCTAATGGCTAAGGATGTTGAGAACAGAAACTCTAGTTTTGATCAAGAGCCTCAGCAAACACTCCACTGCATCTTCAAGACCTTGGATGCTTGACTCCAATTTCTGCAATTCAAGTTGTGCATCGTCAATGCTCATTTTACCAGATTTCCTGGTCTTGTTACCAATGAGAGCGCACAAAACTGCATCCAATTTCTCGAATTCGTTGGTATACATTGCTTCTCCCTCGCATGTTACATGTTTGGAGCTCATCAACTTGGACACCAAAGACCAATTGGTAGATTTTGATTCCATCTTTGTCCCACAGATATAAGAAAAGAGAGATTCAAACACCGTGAAGGTTACTCCTCCTAACTCTCTCAGCATGCTAAAAGTGGCTTCACCGTCGTTTTCTAACTGAGCAAAGCTAAATTTACAAGCTTTCAGAGACTTGTTTATCAACTTCTTTGCTTTCTTCCTTGAAGCCAAATATTGCTTAGCTTCATTTGTGAAACCAGCTTCATCGCCTCTTCTTCTTCTCAAAATCGACTGAAGTTGTTTAGTATCTTCCTTGGCCTGCAATAAAGCACCCTTGGCCTCACCGCACACATCCAAGAGCTTGAGAGACCCATTCAACAACTTGTTAACCTGTTCATCATTGCATCGTTGGGCTAATGATTTTTGTGTGATGGGAAGTTGAAGCAAATTATCAACCAACTTATACAGGTCTGTAAGGCAACTTAGATTTCGGGCCATTGACAGAGATGATGAAGACGCGGATTTGTTGGACTTTAGCCTACACAGATGCTCATTTATTTGAGCAACAAGTGGATGAGGCCTAGAAGGCAAACTGTTTGAACGAGCATGAAAATTGGATTTTTGGTTCAAAGGTGAAGAAGCCATCTTTTTTGTCTTAGAGCAGAAGGCTAAAGTCTTATATGTACAATTCGATAAACTCAATGCACCTTCCCCTTCAACCCTCTGGCTCTGATCATATATTTTGGCAATAGGGGAGACAAAAGGAATCTCATCTGCAACCTCCATGACTCCTAACGTAATCCTCATCCGAATCTCGATAGTTTCGCTGCATGTTTGCTCAATGTCCCCCACCCCACCCCAAAAAATCTGTAAGAAATTTATTTATATAAACATTTGTTTTACAGAAATGAAGCATTAATTATTGTGCACGACTGGCACTGTGCCCCTTGCCTCTTTCCATGTGGAACTGAACATATGTTGTACAAGATTCCAGTGATGTTTGTACTGATCTTTCAATAAATTGTTAATTGAAGAAGATAACTACGGGTACATACAGGATTGCAGGCGAGAAAAAGCGACCATATTGCATGTACGTCGGTAGGCGAGACAGGACTGCAATGCCGGTCGTGCAAATCTGAAATCTGAAAATAAACAACGAAGAAACCTCACCGATTAATTGACACATTATTAAAGAAATTTTGGAAGCAAATGCTTCTTAGCAGTTAGCATGGACACAGAAGCTCAGGAATGCCACTACAACAGGACTCGGAATCTGAAAAAAAAAATTTGGGTAACCTATACCGTTTATCATTTAACTATCTTCTCAATTTAGTTATCAAACTTTTAAATTATTCCTGTTGTAATCACTTTAATTATTTTAATATTATTTTTATTATGAAATTATTTATTTTACTAATATTTAATGTCAAATATGCTTTAAATAATAAAATTCTTTCCTACCCAAATCATAAACCATAATTCAGACCAATTTAAATCCCTAATTCACCCAATCATACCCATTAAAACACTAAAATCAAACTCAAAACTCTAAATAACAAAACCCTCTCAATCTCACCGACCTCGCTCTCACCGGCCTCACCCACTCATCAATGGCCCACAATCACCCACTCGTTCGCCTGATGACTTCTTGTTCTCTAAACCTCGTATGCTCAAATCCCCGTGACAAGTCAAAGGAGAGTCAACGACGACAGAGAGTTCATAACCAACGGGTTAGGAGGTGACAACGACACATATGACAATGACCATCGACCTTGGTGACTTGGTGTGACGGTCTTTGATGAGTCGTTTGGCCATATGGGGGCTTAGCAAGGGAAGAAGTGGTTTGGGGTTGAGGTCGTCAATGGTGAAACTGGATGTAGGGTTGTAATTTGCGGTTGGTCAATGCTGCGATTTGTAGCTGAGGTCATCGCTGAGCCATCGTTTATCGGCGTGAGGGCGAGTTGAGAGTTGTAATTTGAGGTTTAGGATTTGAGTCTAGGATGTGTACGATTTTAAGGTTTAGATAGATGTATGATTTAGGGTTTTATTTATTTTTATTATTATCCTGCATGGTAAAAATATTAATAAAATACGCTACATAATATAAAAATATTAATAAATTCAATAAGAACGATTAAAACATAAGGAATACAGAAATTGAACGATTAAATTGAAAATTTGGAGTTGGTCACCGGACACTATTTGATGACGCTATTAGTATCCTTCTTTTTCAGAAAGAAACATAAAATGCAAATTTATTTAAGGTGATCACCCGGCAAAAGATAATTGCTTTTATAAGAGACAGAATTGCTTCAGAAACTCTATTGTTTTGTGTTACATTACATATGGCTGAAATGGTGGAGCCTCCTTATTAAGCATGTCATATAATTTGCTAGCATGAAGGGCAGGTACACACCACCATAAATGGGGAAAAAAAGATGCACATCCTTTGCTATTTCATACAATTTCAATTTGAAATCCAATTTCGTACTCGGATTTTTACACAAACCTTCGGCAGCCTCAACATGAAAATGGTACAGAAATGTAGAATCAAACAACACTATATTTTGTTCTCACGATCCCTTCACGACTCGTTGCTTCTTTTCTTCAAGTCCGGTAGCCTCGTTCAACATGTCTGCGGCGTCTTTATGCATGTCTAGTTTGGCAAGAGCAACTGATTGCATATAGAAGGCAGTCGGCCACTCTGGATTCACAATCTGTGCCTGCATTGCATCTGCAAGGGCAGCGTCCGGTTGGTCGCTAAATAGATAGCATAGGCTGCGTCGAGCAAAAACAGTTGGGGAAACCATGGTTCCGACATCTATGAACTGCACACAAAGAAAAGGTATCCATAAGGCTTCCATCCCAACTCAAGAAGGTTTAGTACTGGATTTGGTTTAACATTTGTCTCATTAGAGCAGGAGTAATTTTTTCAGATGCTGAAGATTCAACCTGAAAAATATAACCTCAAATTCATATTAAAGTTCATTCTGGTCAAGAATAGCTGCTCGATACTATCATAACCGAATCACGGAAAACAAAAATTTTAAATTTTCAACAAATATATCCGGAGGAGAAAGTTTGCAGTATGAACACTACAAGATAAGAAAGGGATAGATTACAAGCAAATCAACAAACAAAAGATTCCATTTATACAATCCCATTGCCCTAGAGCTATTGAATGGTCAAGTCAATAAATAAGCAAGATGACAATCATGGACAAACTCTCAACCAAAGAACATATAGTTCTTGACGAGTTAAAGTTTCGACATTATACCTGGGAATAACAGTCAATGGCGGTTTTAAAATCTTTATCACGGAATGCATAGTCTCCACGCTTCCTAGCCTCAAGCATATCTCTCATCTGCTGAGTCCACTCTTGGAAAGATAACTAAAGCAATCCATCCACAATTGTATGAACTTCTTAGCATGAGAGTAAAAGAAAATGGATTTAAAGGATTCACTCAAATGAGTCATCACCTCATTCGTCCCTTCATCATCCTTGTAGTGATTCATCACCAATATCTGATGGATGGCTGTAAGGTCAAGTCGTGAACAGGCCTCACCCATTGCAGAAAGTGGACGCTGTGGGGTTGGTGGAGCTTCCTCGTATTTTGATATTCCAAGCATAACATAAGATGGAACCTGATAGCCAAGGGATACAATAATCAGAATCTAAAACGAAAAGCATGCTCCTATAGTCTTCAAAAGCCAAGCCACAAGGTGAGAACTTTAGGTGATTATGTTTTTTGTAATGGTGTTTATCCTCGTTTGAGGGTATTTCGTGTTTTCATATGTAATGAGGCGTTTTATTCAATGAAATATGAGGTACTCTTTTCTTCCTTCCTATGTTCGTTAACATACTTCTTAGTATGTGGACGAATACGAAGGGAGTTTTTAATGAGACCTCCAACTTCTATAAAAAAAAAAAGCCAAGCCACAAGGTCATTAATTCCACATCATTTTTTAGCTTGAGGATGGATCGAGGTAACAATAAGCATGTAAATAAGTACAGATACAGAAGAACTTTAAGTATCTTGGACAACTCCAATACAACTCTCAACATTTTCAACTCTTCACTATAAGGCAATAGATGCAGCCTCCAGGTTCAAAATCTTTGGCTCACCGATGAAGAAAGAATGAACTCTTACGGAATTGAATAGATAAAAGCAGCAATGTTCCTTACATCAGGTTTGGTTTGCAATGGAGCAAGTGTGGCAACAAGATTCTTCACGCTAGGCCGTTCCCTGGGCTCATATTGCAAACACTGAGAGGCAAGTTCAACAACCACGGTCGCCTCCTCTGTAGAAAATTTTCCCTCTAAATGTGAATCCATGAGGACCATGATGTTTTTACCCCGTATCATATCAAGGGCCTGCAAACATGCACAGCAGCAAGTAAAACCAAAGTTTTTGTAACCTTTGAGGTTAATGCTGTCTCACATTAGAACAGGTAAAGATATAATCATATAAGCAGCAGTTTAATCAGGAAAAAAAGTGAATACACCACAGCTGTTAACCTCTTGAACTCGTGATTTGTATAGCTAATTTCCATTTACAAGTATTTCAAGGAACCATGACAGACTCCATGATGCAGAGAGTTTGAAATTGAAAAAAGAAAAATACACATAATATGTTTCGATCCTACTACCAAAAACATAAGCCCCTTAAATCCACTTACATGACTAGGAGGGATGTGCTTCCCACTAAGCAGATCAAGAAGAACAGTGCCAAAACTGTAAATAACGCTTTCTGGGGTGACTCTCCCTACAAGAAGCATAATTTTGACAAAATTCAATAATGAGAATCATGCAATTTGGAAAGAGAAAACAGTTTTCATGCAGCTCAGCACAATGCAATGACAGATAAACAGCTTATCTTATATCCAGAAATGATTTTATACTTGCATAGTTACAGCCAGAACAACTCAACTTATCAAAGAAAACACTGAAAGACAACTAATTACCCATTAACACTGGAATCCATTTTCAAAAAGCCTACCTCGAGTTCCCCTTTGCATGCTATAAAGAAACAAAGATCTCTAGAAGTTGCAACAGTAACTGTCGAAACTACAAGAAGTCTGCTAATGTTGCAATCCTAACATCATTCATAAAGCTTATTCAGACTTTGCTGAAGAAAATCGGATTGAAACACAAAGAAAAGTCTTTTATTGGGAACACAAGAAGTGAAGCAAACAAATTGTGCAGAGCAACGTTAGTAAGGATCAAAGCAAATTTCAGATATGAATAACAAGGTAAATCCATTTAAATTTGGACTGGCAGAAGAACAATGAACAAGTATTTCATGACAGTAAAACCAACTGGCAGAAATAAATCAAACAGCAAAAAGATTACCATTTCTTAGATACTCAGGAGGCGTGTATGCAAGATTAGTGCTATAACTTTTCCCATCCCTGCTATTTTTCATCAGGCCGAAACATGAAAGACGTGGATCACCATCCTACAAATCCATTAAAAAGACATCAACTACTGCTCTAATTGGTAGTTAATGCCAGAATAGAGGGAAAAAACATATACATAATAAGAAGAGTTATATTCAAGAGACCAATACCTCATCAAAAAGAACCCTATAAGCATTTAAATCATGGTATAATGGATGGCCCTCACTACTACAATAATCTAAAGCTTCAGCAATGCAGGTAGCTACTCTTAAGCGCATCGCCCACTCGATGGTTTGATTTTCCCCTGTATAATGTGAACAAAGACCCAAATTTAGGCTGTGATAAACAGAAATGTCCAGATATATTATCAACCTAAAAGCATTTAGCAAACAAAACTGTATATCAAACTTACTAAGTAAATCATCCTGTAATATATTATATATGATTCAATAAGGATTACAGGAACTCAATAAATTAGCAAAAAAAAATTAAAACAAAAAATTCATGGATAAACTGTTTATGGCATGAGCAATGAATCAAGAATAACTGGAAGGGGGGAAAAGGCTAAGCTCGAGTTATATAAGACATTGTTCTTGGAAACAATTAGCAAGAACTAAAAATCAAGCCTGATTAAAAGATGAGCAAGAAATCAAAAAAATTGAACAAGAACAAATGAAAAAAGGATACTTGAAGTTAAAAGGGAATGGAGAAACTGACAATGGAACAAATGCTTAGCAAGTGTGTCATTAATCATGTACTCAGCAACAAGCAGCCTTTCATCACCATCACAGCAATACCCTATCAAATTTGCCAACCTCCTGTGTCTCAACTTCCCTACTCCACATGCTTCATCCTAAAACAAATCCACAAAACCCACATCAAATAATCCCACCAAATATCCAAAAACAGAAAAGACAATAATAATACCACAAACTGTTTAGAATCAGGCCAAGCCGTCTTAGTAAACTTCTTAACAGCGATCCATTTCCTGTTCTGCAAACGACCTTTATAAACAAGGTTAGGAGCTTTTTCCCCACTTTCAGAAACTATGTTATCTGAACTGAAATTATTGGTGGCTGCTTTAAGGTCAGCCAAGGAGAACTCAGTGAAAGAAGGGACTCCATTAGCAACATCTGGGTCGTCGGCTCCAGCACCTGGACCTGCTTGGTTATGATTCCGGGGCTCCTGTTGCTGTTTCCGACTCTGGTCTTTCTCTGGGTGGGTTTCTGTTTGAAAAGATGATTCACAACAGCCCATAATTCACTTCTGATTGAACCTTTCCTCTTCTTTTTGCTTTTCAGCACAGAATCATAAGATAAAAAGAAAAGGGGTTTTGGTTTTGACAAAATTAATAATGGGTTTAGGACTTTGAACGGATCTGGGTTTTGTTTTCGTCGTTTTGAGTTTGTTTATGTTACAGGTTTCTTCTTGTCTTTGCCTGGAACGATGCTCTCCGAGCAAGCTTTTCCTGGGTTCAACTTGTAGATGTAAATAAACTAAAGTAGTTGATCATAGCCAACTTTAAGGCTGATACTTATAGTAGGAATCAATTTTCTGGGAAATTTCTCCTTTATTTTCCTGTTAAACATTCATCATTTACATATGCCAATCCTTCTTTGGTGGTGGAGATTTGTCTTATTTATTACTTGATAAAATTACCAAATCTGAACTATTTTATATCCTTTTTACGCATTAGACTTAGCTCTTTATGTTCAGGGTACTTCTCTTACATGTTTATTTATTGATCGATCGATCAGATCTTACAGGTTTTGTTAAAAAATAAATGTAACTCCCAATGGGCACACGTTCACTGATTAGTAAATAAGAGTACGATAAGTAATAAGGGTATTTTATCTAAATATATTATTTAAAAATTAATTATAAAATATAATTTTATCTCTAATTATTTATTATGATTAGGTTTCATTCTCTTCATGTTTCCTCTCTTTAATTTTAGTCGGGTCTTATGTTTCTGTCTATATGCTGAGATTATTATGCAGGGTTTTATTAATAAGGATTACTTCCCATTATATGACGCGCATATGAAGATTGTATATGAAGACTGTTCAAATATTTATTTACTTATTTATTTATACATGCATTGCATTTTTTTTTCCTGACTGCCGGAGGTCTTCCACGGAAGCTGCTCTTAACCATGCGTTGGGGGCAGCCTACTACTCTACCTCCCTCTTACCCCATTGCATATGGGAATAGGGTTTTGTTGTTGTTGTTGTTGTTGTTTAATCAAAAATTAAAAAACAATATAATTAAGGGTAAAGTATAGTAATGGTCACTGAACATTTCTGAAGCTTGCATTTAGGTCCCCCAACTTTTAAAACTTGCAATACAATCCCCCAACATTTATTCCATTTACAATATGGTCTACCAACTTAAATCACGGTTAGAAAATTAGGGTAAATTATATAAACGGTCATTGAACTTTTCAGGCACTTGAATTTAGGTCCCCAACTTTTAAAACTTGCAAAACAGTCCCCTAATAATTTTATTTTCTTATTAAATATAGATGTATAGAAAATATAAATGATTCAATTTATATTTAAATGTATGAATCATTTATATTTTTGATATATTTTATTTTTCTTGTATAAACTAGTATTTAAAATATGTTTATATTTTAATCAAAATATTTCAATATACGAATAAAAATATATTTATATAAATGTATATTTATATTTAGATGTATAAATAAAAAAATATATTCATATATTAATGTATGAATCATTTATATTTTTTGAATATTTTATTTTTAATAAGAAATTAAAATTATTAATTATATTAGAAATACTCAACTTAAGATTATATATATAATCATGAATTATAAATATGAAAAATATAATTATTAAATTTAGTTTAAAAATATATAAATCTTAAATTTATTCTTTTAAAATATTGTATCAACTAATATTTAAAAAATATATTAAATCTATCAAACAATTTATCAAATATAATATTTTTATTGTAAAAAAATATAATATTTTCCCATCATTTATTGCTTTCAAATTTTTTGCCGAAGTTCAAATCTCATTATTTCCATTTTCCATTATATTCTTTTTTTTCTGGCATTGGTCATACTATTAGTATATGTATTATTGTATATCTCTTAACACAAACGATGGTGTTAGCTTAGTGGCTCCACCCTGTATCTTTCATTTGCGTGACTCAAGTTTGAGTTTGCCCAAGACCCAAATTTTACTTCTTTGTAACTTAATTTTCTTCTAATTAGGTGGTGACATGTGTCACCAATAACATATATCATGATCATGTGTTAACACATGTCAGATCCTGGTTAAATGATTAATTTATTAAATTTTATTTAATTTAGGACCAAATTGATAGCATATATAAATAATTAGGTAGTGACATGTGTCACCAATGACACGTGTCATGATCATGTGCTAACACATGTCATATCCTAATTAAATGATTAATTTATTAAATTCTATTTAATTTAGGACCAAATTGATTATATAAATAATAAAGACTGAATGTATAATAATGTCAATTCCTTTTAACTGCCACTTCATCATTTGTATCAATTGGTAACGACTAGTGGCTTAGTTGAAACAGTTAAATAATCATGTTGTATGATTGATAAATTTAAAAGATCGATGACAAAAGTAAAAAGGGCTAGATAGTTAAGTTGTCAACCTAGTAGTTTACACTTTTATTTATACGTCAAAATAACATTTTATAAATTTAAAATTCGAATTATTTTCAACCTTTTCTATATCCTAACTACTTTTTTTAATTAAAAAATTTATTCAACAGATAAGAATTATACTATTATATTTATATAAAAAATACGTATCACATGAAATAAGATGAAATTAAATAATAATAAATCTGACATAATTAAATTTAATTGAATTATTTTGGAATTTAGGGTTTAGAATGAAATTGAATTATTTTGGAAATTGGGGTTTAGAATGAAATTGATGACTGTTTTGCAAGTTTTAAAAGTTGGGGACCTAAATTCAAGTGCCTGAAAAGTTCAATGACCGTTTATATAATTTACCCTAATTTTCTAACAGTGATTTAAGTTGGGGGACCATATTGCAAACGGAATAAATGTTGGGGGACTGTATTGCAAGTTTTAAAAGTTGAGGGACCTAAATGCAAGCTTCAGAAATATTCAGTGACCATTACTATACTTTACCCTATAATTAAACGCGTTTTCACATACCTGGACTCTCATTTATGTATTTTATTTTTAGGGTAAATTCAGTATTTAGTTACTCACTTATTTTTACGGTTTTGTTTTGATCACTCAACTAGTTTTTTTAAATCATATATAACGTTACGTTTTGATTGTGTTTTGATTATCGATCGTTAAAAAATAAACAGAACTACTGATGTTATATTACTTTATAATAACACATCAATATCACTATTATTTTTTTAATGGCCGGTGATAAAAACTTAACTAAAATATAACATTATATATGATTTAAAAAAATAATTGGATGATTGAAACAAAATTGTGAGACTAGATAGATGACTAAATATATAATTTACCCTTATTTTTATCTTACTTTTATGAGTTGTGTACCAAACAAAAATACTAAATTTATGAAAGAATGTATACTATTTTTCTTTTTCCTCCCTCTAATTTCCTTTTGAATCATTTGTTACCCTCCTTCACTATATCCCTCAAGTAAGATTAGAGATTCAAATCTTAATGTTTGTGAATGTAGTAAATTGAATTGGGATGATCGTTATTTTCTCTGTAATACCCGATCTGAATTAATCAATTAATAAATCAGATAATAATAATTATACCATAATAAATAACTAAAATTCAAAATCTAATGCATGGAAAAGGTTTTGGCAAATGATAAATCATATGAAATGAGTGTATCCAAAAATTCCATCTTATCGATGTATCTCTTTTGTTAGCAAAATTTTTCAATAATTCTAATAAGAAAAAAATATTAAAGCAAAAGGGCTGGAAGATTTCATTGAACCAAAAAGAAACTCCAACAAGTAAACATATATTGAGGTTTATTAGGTACCAACAAATTAGTCCTCTTTTTACAGCTAAACTTGACCCATCAATATTTCAATAGAAGAAAATCTTTTAAAAATAAGCATATAAAAACTTGGGTAAACTATATGTTTAATACCCAACTATCACTTTTATTCTATTTTGGTCACTCAACTATTTTTTTCAAAATCATACCTAACTTTATGTTTTGGTCACCTACTGTTAAAAAATTAACAGAATTACTGACGTTGTAATTTTCATTTTTTTCAATGATGATATAGTCTTATCTTATGATAACACGTTAGCATCACCATTAATTTTTTTAACACAGGTGACCAAAATGAAACCAAAACTAAACATTAAGTATGATTTTGAAAAAAATGTTGGGTGACTAAACTAGAACAAAAGTGATAGTTGGAGCACTAAATGTGTAGTTTGCCATAAAAACGCATGGTGAAAGCATATATTCCTCTAATTAGTTTGTTTGCCACCAAATGATGTTTTGCCCCTGCCACTGCACTGTCACTGTCACTGCCAGCCAGTGCATAGTCGTGAGACTGACAATTTCTTTAAGCAAGGGAAAGAAAAGATCAGGCAACAAAAGGCAGCTTATTTGTAATACAAAACTCAATTATAAAACCAAAATTGCCAAAGTAAAGGGCTTTTTTACAGAATAAATAATACTAATTAAGGTGTCAAAGTTATAGTATTTAAGTATACATACCTCAAGAAAGGGACCAAACCTTAAGTGTTCAAACATGATGGGTCCAGATTTAGTATTTTACTATAACATAAAAGGTTCTCAGAATAAAATAATAATAAAGTATAATCAATGGCTTTACTATGGACATTTAGGAAATATATAAATAAAAGAGGGTGTTAATGGTAGTTGGTTGGCAGCTTCATTTTCTTAAGGTTGAGAATGATATAGTTTTCACATAATGATAAAAAATACTTGTAATATTTGATTAAATAGTTATTTTTATTTTTATTTTTTAGAGTATTTTGGTTCTTAACGTTTCAAAATTTCTATGGTTGAAAATCGTTAGTCAACAAATGAGTAATGCTCCAAAATATGAATTTTTTGTTATAAAATAGAATTTTAGGGGCCAAAATGACTCAGAAAGAAAGAAAATGACAAAAATAACTATTTAATCAAATGCATAGCTTTATGGCCTTAAAATAAAACGTTAGAACTAAAATATTTTAAAAAAATATGAATCAAAATGATTATTTAATCAAATGTTAGTAACGTTATTTTTTTACATTATACCTATATTTTTTAATGATTCATATCTTCAAATGCTAGATTTATGAAAATGATGGTTAGTTCTTTTATAAACATAAAGATTCTGTCTGGCATTCATATCCACCACTAAATAGTTGTATGTGAAAAGTTATGATTTGATTGGAAATTTGGAATTTGAAGTTAGAAAGGGTTGGATTAATAGGTTATTTCATTTTCTTTCTGGGTTTGGAGTCTTGTTGGCAGTAATCATG